AATTCAACAAAAAATCAAATAACCTGCTTAAATGGGTAAAGGACTTGAATAGACATTTCTCCAAACATAATATACAAATGGCCAACAAGCGTATGAAAAGATGCTCGACATCACTAGTCATCAGAGAAATGCAAATCAAAATCACAATGAGATTATCACTTTGCACTCATTGGAAAGGAAAGGTCAGTACCAAAGAAACAGAAAATAACAAGTGTTAGTAAGGATTTGGGGAAATAGAAACCCCATACACACTGTTGATAGGATTGTAAAGTGGCACACTGCATATGGAGGTTACTCAAAAAATTAAAAATAGAACTATGACTTGATCCAGCAATTCCACTCCTGATTATATACCCAAAAGAAGTGAAAGCAAGGGCTCAAACATCCATGTACATCCATGTTGACACAGCATTATTCACCATAGCCGAAGGTGGAAGCAACCTGTCCATCAACAGATGAATGGATAAATGTGTTATATACATAAAATGGAATATTATTCAGCCTTAACAAGGAATAAAATTCTGCTACATGCTAAAACATGAATGAACCTTGAAAACATTATGCTAAGTGAAATAAGCCGGTCGCAAAAGGACAGTATGGTATGATTCTACTCACACGAGGTACCTAGAGTAGTCTAATTCACAGAGACAGGGAGTAGGATGATCAATGCCAAGGACTGGGAGGAGGAAACGATGAGTTAGTGTTTAGTGGGAGTAGAGTTTCAGCTGGGGAAGAGGAAAAATTTCTGGAGATGGATGGTGGTAATGTTTGCACAATGACATACATGTATTTAATACCACTGAACTATACACTTAAAAATGGTTGAAGTAGTAAATTTTGTTATGGATTTTTTTTATTTATTATTTTTTTTTTTTTTGAGACAGTCTCACTTGTTGCCCAGGCTAGGGTGAGTGCCGTGGTGTCAGCCTACCTCACAGCAACCTCCAACACCTGGGCTCAAGGAATCCTGCTGCCTCAGCTTCCCAGTAGCTGGGACTACAGGCATGCGCCACCATGCCCGGCTAATTTTTTTCTATATATATCAGTTGGCCAATTAATTTCTTTCTATTTATAGTAGAGACAGGGTCTCACTCTTGCTCAGGCTGGTTTCGAACTCCTGACCTCGAGCAATCTGCCCACCTCGGCCTCCCAGAGTGCTAGGATTACAGGTGTGAGCCAGCGCGCCCGGCCTGTTATGGATCTTTTAACACAATAAATACATTTTAAAGATATAAAAACAAACAAAACACAAATTAGTACATTTGAATTCATTTAAAAAATTAAACTGCCATAAAAAAGAATGAAATCCTGCCATTTGCAACAACGTAGATGGAACTGGAGAACATTATATGTGAAATGAGCCAACCATAGAAAGACAAATCTCACGTGTTCTCACTCATATGTGGGAGCAAAATATTAAAACAATTGATCTCATGGAGACAGAGAGTAGAATGATAGTTATGGGAGGCTGGGAAGGAGAGCGAGGGGATGAGGGGGATTAAGTGGGGATAGTTAATGGGTACAAAAATATTTGAAAGCACAGCAAAGTAACTAAAATCAACAATAAGTTAGGGTATACTTTAAAATAACTACAAGAGTGGAATTGGAATGTTCATAACACAAAGAAATGCTAAATGCCTGAGGTGATGGATACCCCAACTACCCTGATTTGATTAATTCACTTTGTATGCCTGTATCAAAACACCGTATGTACCCAATAAAGATATATAACTATTATGTACTCATAATTAAAAATTAACAATGTAAACAAATTAAACTGATGAATCAATTAGTAGTACATGCACATTCATTAGAAATATGAAGATAAATGCCAGAAAAAAAAAAAACCTAGAAGATTTAAAAGTTGTTTCTTTGGAGGAGCAAATGGGGGAAGGCCAGGGAGCAGATGTTTTCATTAAAAGCTTTCCAGCAGTATTTGAACAGTATTAAAATTCCAATGTGCATGTAATACTTTGATAAAGATTTACTATTATAAAGCAATTGATGTAAAGATAAGATTATAACAAGCACTGGCAAGAATGTAGAGAAATTAGAACCCTCATACATTGCTGGTGGGAATGCAAAATGGTGCAACCACTTTGGAAAATAGCTTAGTAGTTTGTTAAGATGTTAAACATAGATTTACCATATTGACCAACAATCTGCTCCTAAGTATATACCCAAGAGAAACAAAAACACACATCCACATGAAAACTTGTGTACAAGTGTTCAAAACAGCATTACCCATAACAGCCCCAAACTGGAAACAACCAAAAACATCCATTAACTAATAAAGGGATAAATAAAAAGAAATGAAGTGTTGACACACGCTACAACACAGACAAACCTTGAAAGTGTTGTGAGAGAAGTCAGACACAAAAGACCATACTGTATAATTCTATTTATATGAAATGTCTAGAAACAGTAAATTTATAGAGACAAAAGTATTAATAATTGGCCCTGAATCAAGGCCAGCAGTTTGCTGAAGCTGTTGGTTTCAAACAGGAGCCTAAAGAATTATCTTTCTATGGTCTGTCGGCCATTTCAGAACTTTGGTAATGTAATGGTCAATTCATTAGAAACAAACATCTGAGAAGAAAAGAGAAAAAGCAGGGGAGGGGGAAAGTAGGATATTTTAAGAGAGAGCGTTTCCTAATCTATAAAATTAAAAAAAAAAAAAAAGTATCAATAGATTAGTGGTTGCCAGGAGCTGGAGGTAGGGATGGGGAGTAAAAGCTAATAGGTATGAACCTTTTTTATTTATTTTTTTTATTATTTTTTTTGTTTGAGACAGAGTCTTGCTCTTTTGCCTGGGCTACAGTGCCGTGGTGTCAGCCCAGCTCACAGCAACCTCAATCTCCTGGGCTCAGGCAATCCTCCTGCCTCAGCCTCCCGAGTAGCTGGGACTACAGGCATATGCTACCGTGCCCGGCTAATGTTTTTAGTTGGCCAATTAATTTCTTTCTATTTTTAGTAGAGACAGGGTCTTGCTCTTGCTCAGGCTGGTTTCCAACTCCTAACCTGGAGCAATCCGCCCACCTCGGCCTCCCAGAGTGCTAGGATTATAGGCGTGAGCCACTGCGCCCGGCCGGTATGAACCTTTTTATTGGGATGATGGAAATGTTCTAAAATTAGAACTTGGTTATTAGTCTGCTCAGACCACCTGAACAACAAATTTATTTCTCACAGTTCTGGAGGCCGGGAAGTCCAAGTTCAGGGTGCCAGCACGGTCAAGTTCTAGTGAGGACCCTTCCTGGCTTGCTGATAGCCACCTTCTCTGTGTGTCCTCACACGGCAGGGAAGGAGAGAGTGTGTAAACTCTGGTGTTTCTTCTTATACAGGAACTAATGCCTTCACCAAGGCCCTACCCTCATGACCTCATCTAAGCCTAATTATCTCCCCAAGGCCCTATCTCCAAATAGTATCACATTGGGCATCGCGTAAGGTTGCAATATGTGAATCTGGTGGAAAAACAATTTAGTCCACAGCAGTGGTGATGATTACATAACTCTGTAAGTACTCTAGAAATTATTGAATTGTACAATGAAAATGAGTGAATTTTATGCATAAAAATTATACCATAACAAAGCTGCTTTTTTGTTTTGTTCTTTACTTTTTTATGTTCTGGTAGAAATGTGGAATAAAGCTGCTTTTTGAAAAACCAAGCAATGAGGTCCATTTATAAAAGAAAACTTACAGACTTTGTGTTAAGTACTTTAAATGTTATTGTTATTATAACAACCCTGAAAAGTTGGTATTATCCCTGTTTTACAAATAAAGAAACCAAGGCTCAAAGAAGTTAAGCAACTTGCACCATTAGCAAACAGAGCAGAGTTAAGATCTGTGAGCCCTAATGGAGTTCACACACCTCACACCTCCTTCGTGATTGCCTGAGCCCTGAAGAGTGCTATGGGTAGATCACACAAGGCCTGGGTTAAGGCCACCTTGATGCTCAATTCTGGACAATCCAGTCACCATTTATGTGCAGACCACTGTTAGGCTCCATGGGCGACCTACAAGCAGCTGAAGATCTCTCTAGAGACCGGCATGGAATATGCAAACTGCATACGAGTAACTGTGAAAATGTGAGCTGGCCAACCTTTGCCACAGGAGGTCAAAAGTTAACAGACGTTACTATTTGCAAATTAAACTGTGCTCCTCTTCGCAGCTCTCTCTGGGGAGGTCTGGAGGGTGGGCTGAGGAGCCAGACTCTGTAGGTACAAGTTGCACTCCTGGCACTCAGCAGCTGAGGGACCCCGAGCAAGTTACTTAAATCTTTCTGTGCCTCAGTTTCCTCATCTCCAAAGTGGGGATGAAAAAAGAACCTCTTCTAGAGGGCTGTAAAGTGCTTAGAGCAAAATAAGTTTGCCATCGGCATTACTTTGGTGTAAATTTGTCATCTAACTGTGCAGAGCCTGCCTTTTGTCAGCTTTGCTACCAAACTGTCTTTGGCCAGTATGGTCTGTCCTCTACCACGGTATCACCTGTGGGCGAAGGGTACGCAGTGTCCTCCTCACATCTGCACTGCCCCCTGTGAAATCAAAGCCTGCAGAGGCTGTGGTGGTCATCTGCTCCAGGCCATCAGCCACTGTGCAGATGGGGACCAAGAGACTCCGTGCTGTGAAGGGGCTGCCCTGACCACAAGCTGGTGCACTTCCCTAGGAGGCATAACGTGATTATTGCACTAACCCGCTGCTCAGTCAGCTTTTGTGTCCCAACTTCTCGAAAGAGATCTCCTGTCCATTTGGCTAAAGAAATAGGTGAGAAACGCCACACTGTGATTTGAAAGACTGTCGAATGCTAATTACAAGTTACTCCATCTGAAAGATGGCAATGAAAGCATTCTTAATCCTCCTTCCTTCTCCCCAAACCTCCATCACTGGAAGAAAAGCCGGTTCTTTGAAAGCCGTGAACCAAACACAACAGTTCTGCGGACAATGGTTAAGAGTAGGCTAGTTCTCTGGGAATGGCTGCAGCGGTTTTTTTTTTTCTCTCGTTACCTTGGTAACCGCTACCTTGGCGCCCTTGTTGATGAGCTGAACCACATTCTCTGTTTGGCCTTTGTACGCAGCTATGAGAAGGCGTTCAGAAAGCGCAGCGACCGCATCCTGCTGGCTCATGAATTAGGAGAGAAAGAGGTTTTCGGGGAGAGCAGTTGACAAGTTCCTTCAGCTCCACACGAAGCCACTGGCCTGGGCTGGCACCCACGGGGGAGTAAAGATGTTCACAATCATCGGAAGGCGCTTTTGTGACTATGCCATCTTCAGGACCTAGGGGTTACAAAACAAAGCTGCCATCAGGGCCACTTGACACAACAAGGACAGGCCACATTTGTTCTGATTTTAAGGCATTCTGCTGGCTGCACATTGCAGGGGGGGGAGGCGGGACACTGGGCAAACACACTGTCTGCAGCAAAGCTTCCCTGATCACAACTTCCAAGTGGAAGGCAACAGAATGTGCCAGCCTCCCTCTTCCTGCTTCCCTCCTCAGGGACGTTCCCCAGAGGAGCATGGCCAGAACTGGGAGGTTTACTCTGCGTTTTTTCTCCTGGGTAGCGGAGGCCTGATATAATCCCGGAAGCACCACCTGCTTTACACACCCACCTTGGCAGGTAACTGCACCGTATGTGTGAGCAGCAAAGGCCCCAGGGCTAACGTGCCAGTTCCCCTCTGGTTAGGTGCCTGGGGCCACACCCCATAGAGACCCCGCCAGCAGGTGCTTAGGGTTTTCTCCCAGCACTTACTGCAGTCTCTTCCCCTCACCCTTTTCACATTGTAAATTGTGCGGTTTCCCAAAGTCTAGAACAGATGGAGCGCTGGGCGCAGGCCCGGACCGACTCCTGGTCCAAACTGCTCAAACAATGTACCTCGGGAACGACATAGATGCTAAACACAGACAGCGCACTCTGCCAATTCAGGAGGGGCCGGTCCTGTTGCTCCTCGCTAAGGGCAGGAAAACAAATGGCCACAAAACTGCCTACAGAACACTGAGCCCTCGCTTAGAGCAGTGGTCTGCAGGGTAATGACTAGTGGTAAACTAAGCTCTTCTCTCCACCAAATGGCCAAAATGAATAGATTTTTAAAGACTATGACTCCTCCCAGTAGCCCTGGGCCACCATTAGACCAAACCAGAGCCACTGGCAACTATTTCAAAGGTGAAGGTTCTTTGGGCAGAAGAAAGAATGCTTTATGGATCTAGTCCACTCCTGCTAGATCATCAAAAAAGTGAGGGCTTCTTTGTATTTAAAATATATATATATATATATATATATGTTAAAAATACCAGAATATACAAATGGAAATAAAATTCTATGTCAAAGGGATACCATTCTTCAACCCAAACCCTACCACGCATTCTAATTTTGGCGGTCTGGAAGATACAGACATGGTTTACATCTCTTCCCAGGCCTACCGATCCTTCCAATCTCTAAAGATTAAGGAATTGGCCATCATACGTCTGGAAAAGGTCTGGACCACGTCTCCCATTCTAACTTGTTCACTGTGACATTCAGGCAGGTCATTTAGCTCTGGGAAGCTGGGGTTAAATGCCCATCTATAAAACAGACATAAGAACGTCTCTCTGTCAGGACTGTAGTGGGAAGGCAAGATAGTATTTTATTATGTAAAGGTGTGGGCCAAATGTGACTATCATAACTTCAGAAAGGTAATTCTTACTCCATTTGTGAATTATCACATTTTCTCATTCTTCTCCATCTGTTGCCTAAAATGCGGGTAAAGAATAGCAAGGAGAGAGAAGGAGCCCTCAAAAAACCCATCCCACTCCTGCTCACCGGGCTCATTAGAAGGGCAACGAGTCCAGGTGTGGCGGCTCACGCCTGTAATTCTAGCCCCTTGGGAGGCCAAGGCAGGCGGATCGCTTGAGCCCAGAAGCTCAAGATGGGCTTAGACCACAGTGAGAATCTCTCTCTCCAAAAAAATTTTTAAAAATTAGCCAGACGTGGTGGCACTCGCCGGTAGTCCCAGCTACTTGGGAGGCTGAGGCAGGAGGATGGCTAGAGCTCAGGAGTTTGAGGTTGCTGTGACCTATTAAGATAGCACTGTACTCCAGCCCAGGAAACAGAGTGATACCCTGTCTCCAGGGGAAAAAAAAAAAGTATAACAAATCAGGAGAAGGGAATGTTCCAAAGCAGGGGAGCCCTCAGTTAGTCATGGTCAGAGATCCCTGGGAAATGCCAGAAATATTTCTTCAATGAATAAGCCAATGAAAGAATAAAGTTGAGACCCAAAACACAGAGAAATGGAGCTAGAAATGCCTTTGAAAATTCCCACGGTTGCACTGAATGACTACGGTTTGGGCTTTATGTTTCCCAGACTGTCATGTTATTTGGAAGTGATTTGTTTTTATAAACACGGTGTGATGGCTCTTTCTATTTGGGTAATCCATGGTACATTCAAACCAATTATACTGAGCTTTTGCTCTTTTGCCTAAATACTACAAAATCACTCCAGGCCTAAATGGTAGGAAAATAGAGTATTAGCCGTGACTTCCTAAAAGATCTCCCCTCCCACAACTATATTCTTCCCCTTCATCTCCCCATTTGTTAGCTACACATTCACCCAACCCCTGGCTTCTATTCCAGCATGTTTCCTCCAATGGGTATTTGAGTATCTGAAGTATAATAGCCCGGTCCAAACAAATGTTATCATAGCTAAAATTCTATTTATTCTACTCCATAGCCTGACTCCTGAGGGTAGAGATCTCTTTGCTGCAACCTCTGTACGGCCCATCAGCTGAGGTCACAGTGCTGCCCAGCCTCCTGGCAATGGAGACAAGGGTCCAACCGGCCACCCCCCTCACCCTCCCATCCCAAGCAACAAATTCAGCCTCTCAGACACTGAGACTAAAGCCATAGCTGTAGGCTACTGAGATGGGAAGAGATAGGATACATGTTTAGATCCATTACCATTGGTAAACAGCCCTTTGCAAGACCAGCCCACATTATTTTTCCCTTTTTTGTTACAGATACAAAAATACTAGAGTGGTAAGAAAATGTTGGCCAAGCAGAAATGTCATTTTGATCTTTGCGTTTCAGTTACAGCTACTTACTAACGCTCCTCGCCCCCATCCCGCCCCCTCCTCCACGACCGATACCCCGCAGAGCAGCCTCCAGAATGGCCCGTCACAGTCACACAGAAAATTGCCTCCAAGATCAGGAGCAGAATCCTGGGTTTCCAATTCCTAGTCTGTTGCTAATACTATCTCTGTGTGCTGAGATAGCTCCAGCTCGTTCTCAATTTTAGCCCCGTGTTAGCCTGACTTCGAGGACCTCCAGCGTTCACTGCAGCTGCGTTTACACACGGGGTGGGCAGGGATCGAAGGAGCGGTGATTCTCTTCTGCTTTCTTCCTGTTTCCTCCTGCACCTTCAGCCTTGGGGGTGGGTGCAGGCTCAGTAGAGACACCACGTCTCCACCTCTCATGGTCACGGTCCTAAAATCCTTTACCTCCCACCTAGACCAATCATCCCCAGCCTTTGGAGTGAGAGGATATTCTGCTTCTCACCCAATGCCTCTGAACTGACAGATCAGGCCAGGTAGAGGGGGGAGAGGGAAAAGAAGGGACAGAGAACCCCTGACAATTAATGGGGAGGGGAGGGGAATAGAGGAGTGGTAACCAGTCTGCAATCAACCAGTTAAACTTCACTGCCAACCTGTTGGCCAGCCGGGCTGCAGCAGCCCATTCCCTCCTTACATCTGAGCCTCCTCTTGCAAGTGGATCAGCTAGCAGTCAAGACACTTCCCACTGCTGGCAGTGAGGAATCTCTTCTGCCCCAAGCCTATCAATCACATCCTTCCTTTGTCACGACATTCTGGAGGAAAACCTTAAATGCAAACATGCTGCCCATTCTTTAAGCAAGAAGGATATAAATACATGAGCATAAGTATGCAATGCATACCCTGAATCCAGAAAGGGATTTAGCTTCCTAAGGAAGATTTCCCTCCTTCCTCCAAGCCCACTGCCCCATTTTCATTGCTTTTCAATTTGCCACTTCTTTTGTCTCTCATCACAAATACCAGAGGGTCACTAAGCTGCTCGGTTTGTAATGTGATGTTTTCTTTTTCTTTTTTTTTTTTTTTACAGAAAAAAGGACTACAAGGTTTGCTTTTGCTGTTTTCTTGGGGATTTACAACAAAGTCCCCTATACTTTGGAGAATTTGCCAATAACCCAACGCCACTCCATTCAGTCCCCCAACAGGCAAGATATTCTAGAAGAGACCTGCAAACAAAAGTCCCAGCCAGGCATTACGCACAATCCACCCAGAGACGGCCCACGGCACCCAGGGACCAGTGGTTAGGAAGCGCCATCAGCTCTAACAACTAGCTTTGCCCCTACTACTCCAAAGCCTGCGTTGAAGAGATAGTACTCACATCCGGGGGTCTGTCCTGCCTACATCGTGTTCAGTTTCTGGGTAACTGCGGTCAATTCTTTCCTGGAGAGATCATTAGCTTCCTAGGGCTGTCACTCCCAGTGGGTCTGCAGCGATTTACAATACGATGCTCGCTGCTTTTTTCTTTTCGCCTCCCTCTGTCGCTGCCAGCCAAATCACATCCAACAGCTTATTAAGACATCCATTCAGCTCTCACCGCACCGTTTTGTGGCTTGCTAGTCTGTTCGTCACAGCTTCTGAAAGTCTTGGGTCTTCGGATTTTAATGAACTGCTCCCTCCCACCGGCAGAGGACCTGTAACACTGCCCTGATTGAGAAGAGTCAGGGAACAATAATTCACAGATCCAGGAACGTTTCTGAATGACGCTCAGATGACAGAGGCACGAAGTTTGCAATCTTTCGGCAGCAATTCAAGGAGAGATGAATGTGCGTGTTTGTGAGGGAGGGAGGATGCAGGAAGCAATCAAATCTGCAACAAACTGCCTCTATGATAACAGTTAGGGAAACGCTCGCTTTGTGGGAGCAGCAGAGCCCAGACACTCCGCCCTCCTCGGCAGAGACTTCAGCACGGGGACTGCGGCAGGCAGCACGGGAGACAAGGGTCTGGCTGAGCAGCTGTTCCTGACGTTCCTCTCCCAAACCCGCCCCTGGACGGTCTGCGCAGGGAAGGGGGAGAAGACGGAGCGGGGCCCCTTCCGAAGCTGTTACAAGCGCTGTCGGTGGCCCTAAACACCGCATGTGTGTCCTCCGGCCCACTTGTTGAAGCAGCAGAAATCCAACTTCCCACCTGGACAGATCACAGACAGGAAGAGGGCTTTCATTTTGATTTGAGCTAATATCCCCCCATTTACCTCTTTGTCTCTAAAGAGAATTACAGACACAGGAGATGGGAAAATCACTCTGTCCACACAAACCTTCTGAGCACCCTCCCGTCCCAAAGCCTCACCCCATGTCCCCGAGGGTGGCAGCTCCTATGGGCAATGGGCTGTGATTCTGCTCTGGCCACCCTCTGGCTGACACCAAGGGCAGGAGAACAGCGTGGGACTCTGGCCGGCGCGTTGCAGAGAGGTTGAATTCCACTGGGGAAACAAATTGCCAGTAGAACTATTATGCAAGCATTTTAAAACAATATATAACACTCACACAAGTTTGTCCAAAAGGGATCACGACTGGGATGATGTGATCACCACTGGAGGACAAGTGAGGTTATCACAGAGATGAATGTGACTCAGTCCCTATTTAAAGAAACTCATCTGGCCACTGATAAGCCACGAGCAGGGCCAAAAAGATCACGTGCCAGAAGAGAAATGTAAACCAAGTGCAAAAGAAGAATAAAGCAGGGAGTGGTCCATTCTCTCACAGCTGCCAGGACATTTCCTTCTCCTGAGAGCATCGACGCCCACAGGTAGGGCCCCTTAACACAGTGCTATCCATGAGGACATACAGCACACAGCACTGACTGTTCACAGAACCAGTGTCTGTAAAAGAAAGGACAGAGTAGAGATGCTCTTTAGCAAGCCCACGACTCATGCTATACTCCCCACCATTGCAAAGGAACAGGTATATTTATTTCTTGAACCGTTTCAAATGCAATAACTCTTCTCTTCTGAATCTGACAGTCACTGAATCTTTGAAACCACCACCTTCGCAGGAGGCATAAAGAGGCTGTTGCGGTGAAAGTTGAGTGACAGCTGAATATTACTCAGGAAGCATATGACATACTCTACCAACAAGAAAAGCTGCTTACAGACATGAAAATCATACAGGAGGAATAAGCACGTATCATCGAATAAAGGTGTGACTGATAGAAGGCTTGACATGTAGAGACCTCCCATTTTTATGCAAGACAATAACTTTGTGACTGACCAGCATGGCTAGACCACCAGTGCCTCCAACTTGGGGGCTGGGCACTCCCATCAGTCGGCAAATGACCATCCATATGCTCAAAACTCAGTCCAAGTGTCATCTCTGCCAGGCCTTATGCTATCTCTTCCTTTCCCTAGACAATATGGTCACCTACAGTTTTCCATAAGCCCCTGCCACGGAGTGAATTGTCTCCTCTAAATGCATATGTTGAAGTTCAAACCCCCAGTGTGACCATATTCAGAAATAGGAGGTAGTTAAGGTGAAATTCGGTCATAAACGCAAGGCCCCGACCTGATGGGATTAGTGTTCTGATAGGGTTAGCACATGTACACAACTCTCTCCCCCCTCTCAGTGCACATGCCCAGAAGAAAGCCCCTGTAAGGACAGAACGGCCATCTGCAACCCAAGACGACAGCCCTCACCAGAAAGTGAACCCTGCTGGACTTTGATCTGGGACTTTCAGCCTCTGGGACTGTGAGAAGATACACTTCTGTTGTTGGAGCCATCCAGTCTTGGTGTTTTGTTATGGTGGCCCTCGCAGACCAAGACAGCTCCCCTCCCAGTGTAACTGCTGACACCGGCTCGAGGTTGTCTCCCCAGTTACATGGAACTCTCTGGAGGCCAGGAACCCTGTCCTGGTCATCTTGTATCCCAGAACCCGCCATGGTGCCTGGAACAGAGTTGGCCTTTAATGTCCATTAAATGGACTATAGAAATCTACTAACCAATTTTACTGTAGTCATCAACTGGTCTTCAGGAGTCTGTGGATCCCAAAAGAAATGGAGGCAGTGTTCACTTAGTCAACTAATCGTTTTTCTTTCCAAGCAGATGAGGCGGGCTATGGCTCTAGACCTCCCAAGAGATAATGGGGGTGTTATACATAGTCATTCCTCTCTCCCTTGCTCTCCAAAATAGAGATGTACAGCTCCTGGGGCCAGAAGAATCACTGACCTTTGAGGCAGCCCCTGTCCTAGTGAGACAGGTCAGCCCCAAGGCACCAGACAGCACCACAGCCACTCCAGGAATGTTCTCCTCACTACCCTCAACTCCTGTTGGCCAAAACCCCGAATGTTTCCTTAAAGAAAAAAATCCAAATAAGCAACACATAATAAAACCAATCAATCCCCAGAGAGTAGTCCAGTTTCCATGTAGCCATACCTCAACTCCCATCCAATCCTTAAATCTGCTTTCATCTGGCTCCTTTCTGTCCCTAATATTGCCACTGAAACTTTTTCTGCTGTGATTTATTTGGCGGTATACTGGGCATTTATTGAAGAGATGGGTGCAAAGAACTATGGAAACTGGGAGACGATCATCCCCACTTGACGTGCTGAGGTAAAGGAGGTCAGGACGGCTTTCAGACACCTAACACCTTCACAGAGGTGTTAGATGTGCAGGTTTTGTTAGGTAGAGACATCCAGGCAGACACGGGCAGGGGAAACAGCAAGGATAAAACGGCAGAGTGGGAGTGTGGGTCACGAGGAGCAAAGAGAAACACCGAGGCAACTGCAGCTGGAGCTTATAACACGGCAGCCACCAGAGTCGATGTCAGAAAATAAGATGACAATCACGCCGTGGAAAATTTTCACATCGTGCCAGAGAAACTGGACTGTATCTTGCATGTGTGATGGGGAAGCTGGTACACAGAACAGCGACTAGTCATGTTTTTACTCTACTTGAAACTCAGGCACACAGAATTCAATTAATATAATGGTTTTATGCTGCACTCTCAAGACTAAGTACATGGACTTCTTTCCTCCTCCTCTCCTTCATTTATTTCTTTTTAGTCCCTCCTTTCCTTTTTTTTTTCCTCTGAGTTTATTTTTTTTAAGAGCAGTTTTAAGTTTACAGAAAAAACTAGGCAGAAAGTACAAAGAGTTCCCATGTAGTCCTTAGCCCATCTCCACCCCATGCAATTTCCTCTATTACAGCGTCTTGCATTACTGTGGTGTATTTGTTACAATTGAGTCCATATTGATAAGTTAACTGAAGTCCATAGTATATATTAGGGTTCGCTCTCTGTGCTGTACAGCCTCATGGGTTTTGACAGGTGCATAATGCTATACACTCGACAGAGTAGTCTCACTGCCCTAAAGATCCCCTGCTCCATCAATTCATTCCTCCCTTGCCCCCAAGCCCTGGCAACCACTGATCTTTTTACTGTCTCCTTAGTTTTGCTCTACCTATAACGCCATATAGCTGGACTCATACCATATGTAGCCTTTCAGATTGGCTTCCTTCCCTTAGCAATATGCATTTAAACTTCCTCTTCGTGGCTTGACAGTTCATTTCTTTTTAGTGCCAAATAATATTCCATTGTATGGGTGTACCACAGTTTGCTTTTCCACTCATCTACTGAAGAACATTTTCATTGCTTCCAAGTTTTGACAACTACAAAAAGGATACTAGAAACATGCATGGGCAGGTTTTTGTGTGGATGTAAGTTTCACCTCATTTGGGTAAATACTAAGGAGTGCAATTACTGGATCACGTGGCAGGACAGTGTTTAGCTTTGTAAGAAACTGTTATACTGTCTTCCAAAGTGGCTGCAACATTTTGCATTCCCATCAGCTGGTTTTACATGGACCTAAGTGCCAAAGGCACTGGTAACTCTTCGGCTCTTACAGGGTTTCTCTGTTGCACCCCTCCCTCATCAAAGTTCCTCCTTCCTTGGTTTCTGTAACCCACTCCCCTCCTCATTCTCCTAACCATCCCTGGGACTATTTGCTTTCTCTCATGAAAGGGCTCTTCTTTCACTGGTACCTTAAGTGTTGCAGGTCCTTGAGATGCCTGGTTGTCTTCTCTGCTCATTTTCTTCTCTGGAAGAGCTCAGTACTCCCCCTCCCTGCTGCCCACATCCTCCTCTGCTGCCTAGATACAGATTTCTCCAAGTCTACTTCTTCACCCTCAATCACGTTCTCTGAAGTTCTATATTTAAACACTCAGCCACCTACCAGACATCTTCCTTGGATGTCCCCTGTCAACATGTTCACAATGAAATCACCATCCTTTCTAAACCGGTTTCCTTTTCCTGTGTTGCCATGTTGGTGAGGGACTCCATCTTCCATCTAGCTACCTCTTTCCCATATAGAACATTCCTCTCATTTCTTCCTCGCCCACCACATCTAATAAATCACCAAGTCCTCCTGATTTGAGACAGTAAAGCATAAAGATTAAAAATACAAGATTTGAAGTCAGTTTGCCTGGCCTCAAATCCCAGTTCTTCCACCTACTTTGGGCAAATTTTTAAATGACTATAAAACTGTTTTCTCATGTGTAAGACAGAATAACAGTTCCTACCTCATCGGGTTGATACGGAGATTGACTGAGGTAGTGCGCGTCCTATACAATGCCAGGCATACAGAAAGTGCTCAGGAAATAGAAGCATGGTTATATGCTTACTATTTAAATGTTGCTTAATCTGTTCTCCAGCTGCACGGTCACTGTCTTGATTCAAGTTGTCATTTCTTTCCTGGGCTATCACAGTGGTCTCTAACTGGATGCTGCAAATGTTTCTGGAAATTCTGTTTGTGATCAGCTAAACTTAGAAATTAGGATGAAAGAGGTGAAGCAGGTTTCAGGTTGATTGTGGAAATCTGCTACTGCAGATGGGTTTTTACTCCGGGAAAAACAGAAGCCACTAGGCCAGACTAACATTCGGGATTCAGATAGTGGGTGTACTTTGACTCGAAATGTACCTTCAATAAAAGAGGGCTTTGCACAAGTCAACACAACCTGGCCAGGCAGTTGAGGGGATTTATTAAACTTGACTTCCGGGAAAGACAGAGCCATTGAGCCCACAGCGGTTAAATTCTCTCTCCTCTGAGTCTCACAGATCTTATAGTCAATGAGCCAATGAGAGATAAGTTCTCCCTTTCTGATGTGTCAGTGTTAGAAGGGAGGAATAAAAAAACCAACCCTTCCCCTTCAGTTTGTTCCAAGACAGCAAAGACGGAGAACAGAGAGCTGAGCCACAGGGCAGCAGGCGCCATAACCACCGTGCCGTCTGCTGGGTAGTAGTCGCTACGTCTTTGGTGCCGATTATTTTGCCTATTTCTATGGACCTTTTCCTCTGTACCTCTTATCAAAGTGTTTTATGTGCACAGACCATGCGGGGGGTTAGTGGGACAGGACTGAATTTGCCTGTAGAAGCCTTTCTGTCCCGTTAGTTTCCCCACTCCCTCCCTCCCCTCTACTCATGTGATCACTGATGTTAGAGTGCTTGCTCTCACCTCCTCTCCTCTCGCTCTCAGGATCAATATTCAGAAAACTCCAGTGATACCATCCTGTGTTGTCCCAACTCTCTCTCCCCTCTTCTTCCTGTATCTGCCTGCTTGGACCTCCTATTTTTTTTTTATCTGAGACAGACGTCCCACTCTCTCGCGGCAGGTGAGTTGCCGGGCGTGCCTATACGCATCAATCTCCTGCTCAATCGATCTCCTGCTCAGCCTCCTCTCGCTCGCCACCGATGCCGCTATATTTTGTATATTATACCCCACTTTCTCTTAAGTTTGGTCCAATTATTTCTCATTTCTTAGTAGAACGGGGTCGCTAGGTGGTTTCGAACTCCTTGACCTCGAGCATCCCTCGCTCGCAGAGTGTAGGATTACCAGGCGTTCGAGCCAAGCACTCTCTCTCTCTCTCGCTCTTCTCTCTCTCCTCTCAAAATACGCGCTCTCTCGCTCTGGAGTATAAGTGGTGCATCTCGCGCTCTCTTGAACTGGGCTTAATCAATTTCTCGCGCTCACTCTGCGCTCCATGCACTCCTTGCTCTTTTCTTTTTTTTTTAAAGAAGTGCTCTTGCTATGTTGCCCAGACTAGTCTTGAACTCCTAGCCTCAAGTGATCCTCCCAAGTTGCTGGGATGATGGGTGTGAGCCAACAAGCCTAGCTAGAATTCTCTTTAGATCTTTTCCAGATTCTTCCTCAGCCTTCAAAGATACCCAATTCAAAAGTATCTTCCTCTTAGAGGATTCCACCAACACTCTTCTATCTTCCAGGGTCCCGCAGCTGAAATCACCCTACCCTGAACTCAAATCACAGCTCTGCTACTTATTTTGGGCAAGTTTCTTAAGGACTATGAGCCCATCACCGCATGTGTAAAATAGGGGGAAAAACAGTTTTGTTTTTTTCTTCCTGCAAAAA